GCCAGAGGCTGACGCAGTGCTGCAGCGCCGCGTCGCCGGCGGGGTGGCCGTGGTCGTCGTTGATGCGCTTGAAGTGGTCGATGTCGATCATGACCAGCGCGAAGCCGTGGCCGCGCTGCAGCTGCGCCTGCGCGTCGTTGAGCGCCTTCTCGAACGCGCGGCGGTTCAGCGCGCCGGTCAGCGGGTCGCGGTACGTCAGGTGCTGGATGCGCATGACGACGCGCCAGATCATCAGCGCGATGAGGCTGAGCGTGATGGCGGCCGTGACGACGTACCAGAGCACGGCGCGCGCGGGCGACGGCAGCTCGCCACGCAGGATGTGGCCGTCCCAGCCCGGCTCCGTCAGCAACTCCGCGCCGTGCACGAGTGTCATCACGGCCAGCAGCGCGAACGGCAGCGTCATGCAGGCCGTGACGAGGCGCGACAGCTGCGTGCCCACGCCGCGCATCACCTCGCGCACCGACAGCAGCGCCAGCAGCGTCACGGCCACCGTGCCGGCCAGTTCGGTGGCGAGGCCCGAGCCGCTGGCCAGGCCGGCGCAAATGCCCGCCGCGCCGAGGCCGCCGATCCAGGCGATGTCGTGCGGGCGCTGGCGGCTGCGCAGCATGCGGCGCAGCGCCAGCAGCAGCAGCACCAGGCAGCCCAGCAGGCCGAACTCGGGGATGGCCTGTTGCGCAAGCTCGGGCCAGCCGGCCATGTCGTCGCCATAGCCCTGCGTGGCGAAGCGCACCACGTGCGCCGCGGCCATCAGCCGGCTGGCGCGCGGCGCGATGCGGAAGGACTGGGCGAGCGTCAGCCAGGCCAGCGCCGCCATCAGGTTGAAGACGGCAGTGGCCTTGAGGATCGTCGGGACGTCGAGGAAATCCATGCAGCTTGCAAAGGGCGCAGCATCTTCACCGACAAGGCCACAATGCCGCCCATGTCGGCTTGGGTCTTGATCACCGGGGGATCGCGTGGCATCGGCGCCGCCACGGCGCTGCGCTGCGCCGGGGCCGGGTGGGACGTGGCCATCAACTACGCGCAGGATAGCGCCGCGGCCGAGGCGCTCGCGGCCAGATTGC